AACTTAGTGTGAGGCAAGCTCGACAATAATTTAAAAAAAAAACCGATATTGCTTGAAGAAAGTAAAAAAGGAAAAAAAAAGAGCAAGAAACTTTAAAATCTGTATCAGAAAAAGATTTAACAATAAAATCGTGATTAAATGTACTTAAATTTCTAGAAATTGACAGAACAAGCAGTTTGTGCCCAGGAAAAAAAAGGAACAATAACAAGAAGAAAAGAGAAAAAAACAAAAACGTTATTTGCATAAAATGTTCATAAAGGAGTACCCTCAACACTCAACTTCCATGTGGAGTCTGAATTTTTATTTCAATAGTCTACATTTTAATTTATTAATATTCAGGGAGAGTTACTTAAAAAATGGTACACCTAGGTTAAAAATGAATGTTTCCTTTCATAGCAGCATGATTAATCGGAAGTTGCTCTATCTCTAATAATGAAATATTTTATTATTTACTTATTAATGTTAAACTCATATCAGTTGTACCCAATAATTAAAAAATTAGTCTTCATTGACATTTTATATTTTATAACATAAAATGTCTCCTCCGTTGACTATTACATCTCCTCCGTGGACAAGGCAGAATTTAAAATATTTTAAATCTTGTAAAAAATAAAATAGAAAACTTGACCATTATTATAAGGACGTATAACAAAAATAAATAAAGGCATTTATGTAATTTTGATTACTTTTTTAATTACTTTAATTTAAGAAAATATTTTAGTCTATTTATACCTTTTCAGTGAGAATGACCCATAAACGCTACAAAATATTTGTTCCCCAGTATAATTTATCGAAAAGGAATTATGTTGCATTTATAAAATTGCATTTATAAGCTTACATACTCTAAATTAGTTAAAACCATTAGTAGTTTATTTAAATCTTATAAATAAGTATTTTGTATTCAACATAAAAACAAATTTACACGCAAAAAAGAATTTATATAATTTGAAATATTTAAAACGAATAGTAAGTTATGTCCACTGTTAATATAAAATATACTTTGTCTTGAATGAAGCCCGATATCCTTAAAGAAAAAAATCAAGGCTTTCGTAGAATTAAAACAAATCAAATATTAAAATGAAATTTATAAATAGAAAAAAATTAAAACAAAAATCTCGACGCCAAATAAGTGGTTAAGCTTTTTCCATTTGTTATGAGAGTATAGTTGCTTTGCCATGCTTAGGAGGAAATGTGTCTGTTTTTTTATTTTTCTTTCATTCGTGCATAACTCTACATACATATTTCTTTTTTTTTTAAAAATGCCAAAGTCGGGAAAGCTCATAAGATAAGACACTTAATGTTTTTGAGCTGACTTAGATTTGAAACGTGACAATAGATAGCTGGTTCGTACTTTAATTTCAACCACATTGCTAAGACTAATTATTCCGATCAGAGATACCCTTTAGAGTCCTCGTCCCGTTTGATGTGAAACTAATAGTAAATAATTGCCTGGATTTCTTTTCGCCGCAATACGAGTTCTTATTCGTTGGTGTGACATTCATCCAATAACTTTATATAGATTTTTAATGATTGCTTAAAATTGTCCTAATGATAGCTAACTTGGAAATTTTCACTAACATTGAAAAATACTGTGAGTGGTTTTTGTATTGCAAAGCTTTGCTTTTGTTCTAAATTTCAATTTTTTTTCTCATTTTGAAAATAATGCTTTAAATACCTTCACTTCCTGTATTTCTCTGATATATGATATTATAAGAACATAGTGATCTTTTAAAGTCAAGTCTGTTTTAGAGTTTAGTCTTGTCAATGACTGGAATTTGTTTGCAGAGTCAGTTCATTATTCCCTATTTTTTGAAAAAAGTGCAGTGCCTCTTCAATATTCTAGTTTTTTTTTAATTTTTTTTTTATAAAATATTATTTTATATGTTCCTAATGCATTAATATCTCTTATCAGTGGAATACTGGCTGCAAAATAAGTTCGAAGTGTTATTTTAGTTTAGAGAATGATTGTTCTCTGGTTCAGGTCAAAATAACGACCCGTGGATGAATAAATGGATGTATGAATGGGTCTGCCATGTAAACGGACTTTGACGTGTGTGTATGTCTGAAATCGTATTCCTGACCATAGATGGCGCCACTGAAAAACAAGAAACGCATGCTATGCCTTAAATTCGCTTGGTTTCATCAAGCAGGCTTGTAGGTTGGAAAATGGCATTGTAAAAAAAAACCTTAATTTAGTGATTTAAATAACATTTATTTTAATATATAATGAATTTAAAATAACATTTGGCAAAAGCAATATCATTTCAAAATTTCAATTAATAATTTTAAATTTTTATAATAGCTATTTAAAATGCAGCTTTGAAAAAATGTTAAAAGTGAATTGAAAAAATTTAGTTTTTTTGCCCCACTACAGCTTTTGAGTTAAATAAATTTCCAAAGTGCATTTTTTCCTTTTACAAAAGAGCTCGTTTGTCTTCTAGATTCAATTCGCAATAATGTAAGAGAAACGCTTGTTCTATACAACATAGAGTAAAAGAAACGCTTATTGCATGTAACATAGAGTAAGGGGAAAGCTTGTTGTACGTGGAAAGGCTATTTTCTTTCGAAGTAACAGAATATTGTTCACTATCAAGCATGGAAATGACTTGTAAGGTTGTATACGTATTACTGTAATTAATAGTTTTTTTAAAATGAATCATTCGATATCAATATACATTTAGTAGATAATTTTTAAAAGCTGTAAAACATCTAAACGTGTGTTATTATTTCGACTTTATATAAATATTTTTTGATTACACAGGCCTATAAGTTAGTGTTAAAGAAATTTCTAACATTGAAGTAAGTTGAATTTGTTTAAATTATAAAAAAAGAGCGAAAAAAACCCTGCAATTTAGGCAATTCATCTTACTCACATAGGAAGTTTAAAAAATAAAGCAATTTTATACAAACAATGAAGCTTCTAAGCTTAAGTCATTTTTCTTCAAAAAATAAATAAATGAAAAAGCATCCTCTGATAAAAATTAGTGCTATTTTAAATTTCAGATCAGAGCAATGTTATTGAACATCCAAAGCAATATGCATCAATCATTTTAAACAGTTCAATGGAAAAGACAATTTTTTCCTAAGAATACTTCAAAGTTGGTAAGTTGACTTTTTTGTATAAATATGATTAAAAAAACTTATGGTGTGAACCTAACACATCATGATTAAAAATAAGCGCCTTAATATCCGTAAGAAATCCCTTGTATTTTCTTAAAAAAATTCTTAAAAATGATTATACTATAATTTGTATTAAAATAGTTATAAATGTGTATGTTTTGATGCGGGTTTGTATTTTACAATTAATTATATTTTTTATTTTATGATTGTTTTAAAGCATGAATTGAATTTTAAGTGAGTCTTGTGTTTTTACTTAAGTAAAATGTCCCGACAGTAAAATTCTGACGAAAAGAAAAAAAAATGTTTAGCTTAAAAAAAATCATCACTAAACTCGCTTAATAGCGCTGGTAATTATGCAAATTTTCACACTGAAAAACGTAAAAAAAATACCATCAGCTAAGCTTTGTCATTAAATTAACTTTATTTGAATTTTTTCCTTTACTTAACTAAGACTATTAGTTTTTTTCTTCCTTTTTTAAATTTGAGAAAGTTTTTTATTTTTGTGATATTTTATTTCATTTCGTACTTTTTTTACATGTTAATGAAATATTAGAATGTATATTTTTGCTAATATTAAACACAGTGTATTCGGGAAAATTACTAGAAATTCCTACTTGAATATTTTTTATTAATTTTAAAAGCTCGTATCACTTTACTGTATAATTAATAAGTTAATCTGTGAGTATTTTCACAATATTATTCCTTTTTGTTTGAGATATTTATAAAGCAAAAATATTTAATTTAAGCTATTTTTAAGCCTATAACATATAAGAATATGCACACATGTTTTTGAAAATTGCTTCCCCAAAAAGTAGCTATGCAAATTGAACCAAACTTACATGAAATATAAAGTGAAAAAAGATATGCAAATGATTAGAATTCCAAGGGAATTGCGCATGCATGGAATGTGAGGTGACTCCTTATCATCAGCTTGTTCATGTATATAAAGCACTCTACAGACGAGGTAAAACTAATTTGCTGTCTTTTGTCAGAGATAAACATTTTGTTAGTGGTTAAAATGTTTCGTCAAAAGTGGGGAGCTCCATATCAATCCCTGAAAGAGCTCATACGGGTCCTAAAGTTGGTTTACTTGGGGTTGGATTTTCGTATCAAGAAATCGTAGCCCTCACGCTATTTAATGCCATAGCAGCAATGCGTGTTTGGAAAAAAGGAACACTGCAGTAACAAGCAAGACGGAAACCTGGCAGAAGAGCACGTAATAGCACAATAGTTCGGGACCATAGACACCTCATCTGCATGGCTATAACAGACCGTATAGCTTGCTCTCGTGGTTTAGCAACACATTAGAGCATGGCTACACGTGTCTATTTCGACGGTTCGTCGCTGTCTGCTGCAGAATCAACTGTGTACAAGGATTCCTCTAAGCAGCACGCCTCTGTCTCTAAATAACCAGTTTCTCCAACATCAATGGGTTCATCCACACGGTCCATGGCGCGTCCATTGGATCAAAGTTGTTTTCTCCGACGAGTCTCACTACAATCTGGAGTACAATGATGTAAGAGTTCGCGCCAGACGTTACAGAGGGGGACCTCTACTTCCACATTGATTGTCATACCGCATCTGTCTTCATACCACTCAAATGCTTGGCATTATGGTCTGGAGAGCTATTGGATATAATTTTCGATCTCATCTAGTTCAAACTAGTAAAAATCTCTTCTAGAGCAACCTGATCACTGAACACTACATAAGTGAAATTTGGAAGCTAGATTGACTTCCCATTCTTCGATGCATTCCGGGCGCTGTATATTAGTAGGATAATGCCTGTGCATATGTTTCTAAGGCCGCGCAAGACTTCTTTAAGTATCGTTTCTTTTGTTGTTGTTGTTGTCGTATCCATGCATACAGTGCTAGTGCAAAGATTAGAGTCCTCTAAAATGCAAATGAGGACAGTACTTGCAGATGGCATAGGATTTTATACTGGTGCGTGAGATCTTCATGCCTTTGAAATGTCTAGTACGTAGCCTAGCTATACAGGTGACAGATCGAGGTTTATCTTCGTCGCGTGCTTCCTTTGAAAGGGCATCTGCACGTTCGTTCCCCTCGATTCCAACATGAGCTGGGGTCCACTGGAGAGTGCAACGGACATTTAGTAAATGGAGAAGGATATTAATTTCTTGCGTTATTGATGTTTTACCGTTATGTATGGCTTCGAGTGCTGATTTTGAGTCTGAGAAGATCACAATCTCTTTTATTGGGTCTTTTGGAGAATGGGAGTGACAATAGGCAAGAGCCTCTTTAATAGCGATTAATTCGCTGGTGAAGTTCGAAGCAATTTGGCCAGTGGGTATTTTGAGTTTGACGTCATTTCCAGAGGGGCAAGTGAGGGAGATACCAGCACCACCTCTATTACAGTCTATATCAGAGGAACCATCTGCGTAGACTATCACGCTGTTTTCCCTGGAAAGTGAGCGAACAGTGTCTTCATCTTTTTGCAATAATACTCGGGTTGGTTCATTCTTTGAGCATGGTTCCAGTAGGTTAGTATTGATTCCAGTATACATAGGGGGCTTGGAAGGAAAGAGAGGTTCTTGAATAATGCACTATTCATAGAAAAGGGGTGCCATTGCCTCCGGAAAGGTTGGACTTCTGCCTGTTGGTCTGCGGGAGCTATTTTATTTCACTCCTACCACCCTATGGTGAACCAAAGGAGGCATTCCTCGATCCGCCACCTGGGGACGCGCTCTCTAGGAGTTACAGGCTCCCCCGAGAGATCGTTTCTTTTACGGCCCACTTATTCTCTCAATATTTCACCCACTGAGCATGTCTGGAATTTCTTAAGTAGCTGTCTCGCTTGTATAGTTGATGGGGCACACAGTAAGATTGAACGTAGGCGTCAATTCGAAGCTATGAGGAACGCCACAAGATTACATTCAGAAATTGTTTGATTCAGTGTCACAACGTGTACATGCTATAATTGCTCAGCGTTGATGGGACATAATATAATGATTCCCAACGTTCCTTTTGTGCTTTGTCTTGTGAATTAAATCGTTTAATTGTACAATTATCAGTAATACGAGGAATAAATTTCTAACAATTCCTTCATAGTGTTTCATTTTTCACAAACATTAGTATATATTATTGGCTTAAATGGGTAAAGCTTCTTGTGGTAAAAAGAACACTTTTATTAGTTCTTTTTTTCCTATTTTTCTTTTACTTACAAGTTAAAAGGAATTGAAAATAAAATGGGTAAAATCATCTAGCAAAATAGTTTTTCAAAGTTTTTTTTTGTTTCCGTTTTTATATGACAAACATATTGCTGTATTTCCCTAAAATCTTGTAATAAATACAAAAAGTCATCAATTTCTGAAGCATCAAGAAAATCATGCATTAAAAAATTAATACGGAGTGCTATAAATGTTTATGTAGACATAAATTTTCGTCTTGATTTTTTTTGAATAATTTTTCGCAAGGTGTAATTACTTGATAAGGAAAATATCAAATAAAAACTTAATAGCAAAATAACTGTAACAAGAAAATAAATATTCATATTTTCATAATTTTTAACTGCCGCAAAAGTTTGAGGTCAAGTGAATATATTTATTCAAAGAAAATTAAATGAAAACATCAATAATTAATGTGATAACTCTTTTTTTTATGTATTAAAGGGCACGGTGTTTATTTGAAAGTAAAAGCTTCTGAATTTTTGATGTGTCAATATTAAACCTTCCTGTTTAATGGCTTCTTCGAATTGCAGCACTGATGAGGTCTGTTTTTTCCCATTTACGATTTGTAAAACAACACCCTCAAAATTTCCATGGAGCTAGTTAGGACAATATGAGAGACAGTATAAAATTGCTGTATTTTTAACTCTAAACTATTATTGTGCGGAAGTAGATTTTTGCATGATGACATTACCTTATTGGAAAACCATTTTTGAGCCCGTTGTATAACTTTAAAAAATAGTTAATGGCTTGATGATAGATGAACCTTTATCGTCAAATGAAGTTTAAGAAAATCTCAAAATGAACTAAAATGGTTTGACGTTGCACTTTTAGAATTTTCATTCCAAATTTACGGTAAAATAACCGGCAACAATCTGTCCATCCAATTAATCCCAAAGTTTACGGTAAAGAATATTTTTTTCTTTACTGTTTTAAAACCGTTTACAACTAGTATGGCTGAAAAGCCAGGAAAATAAAACTATATGGTATCTAACCATTTACAACTAGCATAATTTCGTAATTATATATATATTTTTTTTTACTGAACATTGCATCTATACCTTTTATTCAGTAACGGACATTGGAGTCAGGCTATGGTTGAGTTGTGCTTTATCAAATGAACTGTAGAATGTGGTTAGTTAGTTCATCTAGTTGTTTCACCTATTGATGGAACCTATTGTAAGAAATGGGAAATAGTAGACTATTTTGTGTTAAGCAGCTTTATGGTGCTGCCATCTACGCGGGAATGAGAGTATCGTATTCTAACTCTCTAGGGTCACAGATTAGGAGTGAGGGAAATTGGAGACTCTTCATGTGTTGAAAGGAATGAATGAAATATTGTGGTGTAAGCACTAGGACTCGAACCCCCGGTCGGTAATGAGATTGACAGTTTAGCTCTCTCGACTATAATATGTGCCCAGCTGCAAAGAAAGTGGCTTCATTAGTTGGCCTAGTTGGTGCAGTAAAATTCTTTTTTAACCGAATTAGGTGAATGCAGTTATTGGACAGTTTTATCACTGTTAACAGTTTGAATACCATTTTATTTATGGTTATTTGACTGCTTTTTGAAAATGGTAAAATAATAATTAAATAAATTGCCATTCAACCATTTCTTCCGAGAAATTTATAACAGTGTAGAATCTAAGAGCAAGGGTCATACATGATGTCTTCTAAGGGTATCTGATCGGTATTTTCTAAGGTAATTCCAATATTAACTGTTGCCATTTGGAATACCTAAATTACTCAATTTTCATCTCTGAGCAGAATATTAATCTATCTATTCTTATTCGTATGATAAAACATTTTTGAGGGTAAAGCCTAGTCTCGTTTACTTTTGATGCTGCTGAAAATAATGTGGGTTATCTTGCCCTTTTTAATTAGCTCAAATTCTTTAATATTTATACGAATGAAAGAAAAATTTCTCCGTTTCGATTTTTATGTCATTTGTTAGACAATTTTTGTTTCAAACAGGATTTTTAAATTTTTCTATTTTCTTTTATGTCGTTACTGACTTTTCACTTCATAATAAATGGTTTTTCAAATCTTATCAAGATTAATATTTTATATCTTACTTTAAAAGACTTTTTTTAAAAAATTTAAATTTATAAAAAAGACTTATTTTATAGTCTTGTTGGCTGATTTCTCATTGTTTTAATGATAAAACATCTTAAAACACTTCCAGAAATTTACAAAACGTATGAATATCCCTGATTGAATTAAAGCAATTAATTAACAATCAATATTACCGAAAAAAGATAAATTTTAAATCGAAATGGATCATAACTTAAACGTAGATTTATTTTTTATAGAAAAGCCAACCCACTCCCTTTATAAATACACCTTGTACTGTTTTAAACGCATATAATAACAAAGGATTCTACTCTTTACACAATTTTCTAGTGGCATTACTCCCACCAAGGTAATTCTTATTGTTCATAAAATAATAGTTAGGGAAAATAAATTTGGGGCACATATCAAACAACCTTTCAATTCTATCTTCTTTTTCGTCTTTTATCAATTTAATGACAACCACTATTTCTGCATATTACTTGATGAGCGTCATTAATTGCATGTCATGGTAATAGAGTGAGAAAAAAAAGCATTTCTGTCAGCAAAAGCGGATAATTTATTACATTGCCTAGAGAGAATTTTCATCTTCCCAGAAAATAGTTTCAATTACTAGGGAGTCTCGAAACGACTATGTTAAAAGGCAGGTCACGAAATTATTAGGTGAGAAAACACATGCCGCCTAGAGAACTATTACCAACTCGCATTAACCCAGATTAAGGGTAAGATTAGTGTCTTAGCACCCTTCATTTCCTTGGAGAAAGAGAAGAGAAATGAGCTGACCACATTGTTTGTTTTAGTAGAATTACTGAATAAAGAAGTTTTTGATATCCATTTTATTGTGAAATAAATTATAAGTTATTGCTTTCGGATGCTGCATATTGAGTGGGCATGTGACTCGGGTAACTAAAATCCGTAGGTTTCAGTAGAAGTTTTAAAAATTTTGCCTGTTTTATAGACCAAAATAATCCACATTTAAATACATGAAAAATATCTTTATGTCAGTAGTTAAAAATATAGCAAAATTGAAATGAAAACTCAACTAAATTTTAAATTAATTTAACAGTGTTTTTTTAAGTCCCATTGGGATAATAAACTTCAATGTTTGAAATGATCACAATAGCGAGCATTATTTGAGCCTTGAATTATATATTGAATCAAGGGTAAATTTTGATTCAAATATTACACTCATATTCTAGTATTTGTATTTGTATTGATTCCAGTATTTGTAAATTTTGAAATTAAATGCTGGATAAAGAATTCTTTAATACTTAGTTATTTTTTAAATACATAAAAAAGTTATTGTTTTAGATTCAGGTTAATGCATATTTAGAAGGCATCTGACTTGAGTATTGAAAATTCAAAGGTTTCAGTTGAATAATCTTTTGCGATGTTTCTGTAATATAAAAACAAATATCCCTATTAAGCAATATCCCTATAACAATATAATACAATATAATACATAAACAATATAAAACAATATCCCCATTAAAATATATAGAAAAATTGCAGTAGAAACAAAATAGTAAAATTAAAATACCATATATTGTTTAGTTTTCAAAAAAAGTATAATTTTTCAGTCTAGTTAAAGTAAAATAAAAATCCTCGCCCGATATTGTTACAGCAAAAAGCATATTATTCATTTATTTTATTTTATTTATTTATTTATTTATTTTTAACTTTAAGAAAATAAAACACTTTGGTGGTGTTTTTTTTGCAGCCAAAAAATATCTTGTTCTTGTTGATCAAGTCCTGTAGAATAAAAAGTACAAGAGAATAATAATATGAATAATTAGGCAAGCGTTGAACAAGAAATTTTAATCCTAAGATGAAATATTTTTTAAATGTTTAGCCTTGTATGCCATAAATGAAAAAATAAACACAAAATGAAAAAAAAAGTATTTGTCTTAGAAGGGCTTTGATATTTTCTGGATCTATATCATATATAGCGAATCTATGAGCAATCTAGAAAAAATGGATTGTATGGGGATAGCAGTAAAGTATAGGGTAGTAAATGCACGGCAAAAAAGTTTTGATTCGCACTGTAAAATATTCAGGAAATAAAAGTAGATGCTTCTTACCGTAAAATCCATTTTTACCAGAACATGTTATGGAACAAAAAATTATGATGTATATTAATTTTTACATTATTAATTATCATAAAGTCTCTAAATCACTTCAATTGAATAAATTACTGTGAAATTTATGGTATAGTATTTTACGGTAAAAATGAATTTTGCAGTAAAATAAATTTTATGAATTATGTACCCAAA